AACCAGATATTTTCGGAGCCAATGCTGACTAGCTGCACAATCTAAGGAATTGCTGCACGAAGCTACACCAAGCAGAACAGAAAAAAAATACAAAAAAAACGGAAAAACCCGAAAAAAAAGGTGACCGCTGCAGTAGGCCACAAAAGTAGTGAGGCAAGTCCCCATGACTCCGTGCACACCAGAACATTTGCGCAAGGCTGCAGCTTCTGCTGGTGTGTTGCCATGCCCAGCGGATGCCAACCTCTACAGCTGTAAGGCCAGGTTTGCCATGCTGCGCAAAACTCGACTTGCAAAGCAGGTCGGGGATCGGGTGTATCTCGGCTGCGGCTACATTCCGCTACTGGGAGCAGATCTTGAAGTTTCCCCGATCGACAGTTAATGGCTCTTGGGTAACCAACTTGTACTTACTTTGTACATGTGCTTGGGTGCTGCTAGCCGGCTCGAGATGTACGTGCAGAATTTTACGTGTGCAGGCATGGTGCGAGGGCGTCGTACCAGGCCTACATTCGCAATCCTTGCAACTCCCTTCAGTTCCGGTGTGAGCTGCACGCAGTTCGGACATTGGTAGTTCTCTGAAAACGAGTCGGTTGGAGCATGTTGAAGCCTTGCCAGGCGAGGCCGTGAAGTCCACACTGGGGGGGAAGCGCTTCCCCCAGACTGGTGAGAAGCCTGACAGCCGTATTCGGATCCAGAATGCCCTTGTCCGGTGAGCCTGCCCAGGAAGTGCTCCGAACTTCCCGCCACTGCGCTGGTCCGGGACCAGCCATCCTGCATGGCTCTCACTCACATCGGATTGAGCTAGCCAGGTAGTCCGGCAACATGTGAGGCATGTCAAGACAGCCAGCAGCCAGCTCTAGCGCAAGTTTGGTCGCATCAATTTGTTGCATGTACAAGCTCAGAACGGGCGATCAAAACAGTTTGAGCTAAGGCATGTGCTACGATGCCGAGTACAAAGTGCAGCTGGCAATGTGCGTGAGCACCTGCCCAGGTGCAACGCGACCAATGTGAACTGAATGGGTGGGAGCAAAGGGGAGCAGCTGTACGACACAGGGCTCTGATGGCTGAGTGTCTGCCCGAAGTTGCGGAAGGCCGCGGTCCGACACCAGCAAAGGAAGAGCAAGGTTGGGAGGGATCGAATGGGACGCATGTCTTCAACGTTTGCTTAGAAAGAGAGAGAGCAGGCAGTAGACGTAATCCTTGATCTCCATTCACGAAGGCTGTGCTTCAATGAAGGTCTTTTTGCTACTTCATGGAAGACCGCCCGTGTTGAGAAAGCCAATTAGACCATCTAAGACCCCAAGCCATCGTACGCTGGTATTTGCAGCTGCAGAGGTGGGACCTGTGCCGCTGGAGATTCCTCTTGCAGAGCCCAGGGGTCAGGCCACCAAGCGGCCTAAAAATCGGGTGTTTGCTGAAGCGGAAGCCACTTGTCCTGGATCAGAGCTGGCTTTAGTGTCTGTGCAGCTTCCCCGATCTACGAAGAATGGGCCGATTGAAACGAGACCTGAATCCCCGTTCGGGTCCTCGCAGCCTTCTGGCTCAGGCGCCCGTCGCTTCCTCCTTTACGACACAAAGTACGGTGAGGGCTTCAACCTCCAACGTGAGGCCACAGGGAAGGTGGAAACAGTTGGTTTCCGACAACTGACGTTGGGTTTTATTGCAGACTCAGTAGCCATCGAGTGGTTTGACGCAGCTCGATATGATGGAAAGCCACGATGAACGGCAGAGGAACGACTTTCCCGAAAGAAGCGTCCTGGAGCGTTGTTTCAGTGACTCTCAGTGCAATCCGTGCCTATGTTGTGTCTTCACAGGTTTATCCTCGAGCTGGCTGGATCGTTGCAGAGGCCAACAAGGCCGTGGACTCGAACCGTCCTTGTGCACGAGCCGCAAAAGCCAAACCTAAAGCATCACATATCAGCAGAGCCTCGACTTGGTAGATCTGGCACACCATACAAAGACTGAATCTTGCTCAAGACTCACTGCGAAGCTGCCGCAGTAGAGCACGGCATAGTCACGAGCCAGACTTCACCACGAGCTTTGGAGTCTGCTGTATGAGGCTTTGGCAGCCAAATGCGGATCCAAAAGTGACGGCGATTGCCCTTGAGCTCAGCCTTCCTGCAGCCCTGCATGTTCTCAATGCCGGAGAGTGACCGCTGTTCAGCTTTCGTCTTGTGGTGCTTCTGCCCAGGTGCTCGGTGGGTTCTCGTCTTACCACCCTGGTGCCAGGCACATGGGGTAGTGTAGAAGCCCGAAGGGGGTCGTTGGAGCCATCACGTTCAGGCTTGCAAGGGACATCCCCCTGCATTTAAGTCACGATGCAATGGATGTGCATCTACGGGACTAAGCGAGTCATGGATGGGTTTCCATTCCATCCTGAAAGTGCCAGGTTGCACATTGGTGGACCGGTCCGGAGCACGTCAAGCACCGAGCAGAGGGAGCAAGCGGCAGAAGCAATGTAGGGACTTGCCAGACTCTGAAGTCCTTCCTTTTCGTTTCAATTCCCGAAGAGACTGGGGGGAAGGGTTTCAGGAGGGTTTTCCCGCATCCGACGGGTGGTGTGTTTCTGCTGCTGTTGAAGTCTTTGTTATGTTTGGACTTCAACGGCGTTTGCACAATTTTTTCCAGAATGCGCAGAAACGCAAGCATGACTTACCCGTGACTCTCATTTCTGTGCGTTCAGATTGGGAAACAGAGAAACGCTGATGCGTGACAGGCCTGACTTTCGCCGACGTCTGTAGCAGAGATGGCATCGTGTGTAAAGCAATGAAACCGAGGTTTACTGGCGTACCTTTTTCGATTCAGATGCGCTCACGGACTCCAAGGCATCAGCAGTCTGGAGTGTTGCATTCGATTCAGAAGCTTTAGAACTTTAGGGCATCTGGTTCGGAGAGAAATTGAGAGGAGTGCTACGCGGTTAGTCGAGTCCGTGTTGGGCAATTCAGGTCATGATGCCACGGTGTTTCGTAACATTATATTGAATCTCGCAATGTTCACGCAGGTCCCCGTAATCGAGTTTGACGAGTACGTCGCGGCCCCAGAGTACGAGCGAATACTCCGAACAGCAGGCACAGGCACGCTTGCACGCGCGCACCCATGCACCGACGCACACACCTACACCCACCACACACAGTAAAACGACAATCCAAGCGCACGAGCCTTTTCAGCAGACGAGCTGTGCATGTGTGAACTCGTTCCTGCCTTGGAAGTTCCGGTTGAACGGAATGCTTTCTCCTGAAGAAGTGTGATGTTATGATCTTCTGTTATCTTTTGTAAGTAGCCTTGCTTGCCAGGTCAAAGCGGTCGGGGGGCAGTCTGTGGACATGGCCGTGTCTTTCGAGACGGATCAGCTCTTGAAGCAGACGGACCTGACAGCCAATGGCAGTCGGCAGACACTCCAAATGCCTCACGATTGCTACGCAAGGCTAATTTGATTGAAATGGACCTGGAAGGAGCAGCTGACAGGTGGCAGCGGCAAGTTCATGGGATTTGCAGGGAGCATCAGCGACTGCAAGACCAAATATGTGTGCAGAGCTCAGCCGTCTGCGCTAGATGCGAGTTCCAAACTCGCTGCAGCAGAGTTCCTTTGAAGCTAGATGCTGGCGAGGAAGCCGCTGGAGTTCCGCAAGCTAGCGACTGGCGAGTTCCAGATCGTGTGACTTGCACGAACGGTCCAGTGAAAGTCAGACACTGCATGGTTGCTTGCTCGTCCGACTCGGCCCTGAGCGTCGGCTTAGCGTCCCCGCTTGCAGACCTAGCAGCGTACGTACCACTTGGCAGCGGCTGCAGCAACGCTAGGTACGCAGGGCACTGCGATGGCGCGATCGCTGCAAAGGTCCAGCACATGAGTCCAACGCAACTTACTTGTAGCTGTTTGAACATGCTGCGGCATGACGACATTGCATCCTACCAGCATCGGGAGATCTGGGAAAGTCTGGCATTTTCAAACGCGTTTTGCATCTCGTTTTTTAGCTGTAGAAGCCACGAAGACCGAGCGGTTCCGAGTCTGCTTCAAAGCTTGTGAAAGACCTTTACTTGTAGCCCCCTAGGCCAACAAAGTTCCCGTTTCTTTCGAAGGAGCTGCGCTGTGCCTCGCTAGACGGGCCGTGGCCACAGGGAGCATTGCCCTTAGAGCTGGCGGCGCGACGTGTGTGGACCTCTGGGTAAGCTGTGGTGGGTTCTGCTGGCGCTGGCCCTTCAGGGTTATGTGCGTGCTAGATTCGCTTGGCGACAGAAGCCACTAGACCATTGACATTCCCCTTGCCCTGCCGATGCAGTCAAGGTGGTGGATCTTGTCCTCGCCTTGACGTCGAAGGTCGGGATCAGATTCGATTGTCTTTGCTGTCCGTATCAGCTGAGGGCGCGTGCAGCGGCAACGACAGTAATCATGTTCGCATTGACGCGTGGCTTTGGAAGGTCGGTTCTGTGCTGCTGAAGAATTACGATTATCTTCTGTCCCCTGACAGTGAGCAGCTGGATGAGCTTGGTCTGAGGCCCGGACAGCAGGCTCGGTGCGAAACGATGACTTGCTGTCTTATCTGTCGTTTTCAGCTTACTACTCTCTCCGCTGTGTCTCTGGCTTGCCTTCGTCACACCATCCCTACGCACTCGAATGCTGCAAGTACTCAGTTATGTTGTTGCTTGGGTACATGTCAGCCGGAACCAGAGAACACGACGACTCAGCCAAGCCGAGAGAGCCAAGCTGACATGCAGCCCAGCCATAGGGGCTCAAAAGTATGCAGCACACATCTCTGCTTGTGGCTCTCAGGTCTCCGGGAGTCGATGCTCTTCGCAGCGGACCGTAGGGTTTCTGTCAGGGATCTGCTTAGACTTCTCGCTTGCATCTGCTGCACCTCGGCTACACAGGACTTGAGAGCTCATGCAGACGAGCTGCGACCTCGGATTATTGATGACTGGCTCATAAGAGCGGAATGGGGACTTGCTAGGGCTAATCTGTAGTCCGAAGTCCGAGATAGTCCGAGAAAAGGGGACGGCCATCCTCTGCCTCTTTCGAGGTTCATCCGGAATGCGTTTCAGGGCGAAGGGTACTTGTCCGCGCACTGCCGACGAACGGACCGCCTCGGATGCCTCGCAAGCTTGCCGTAGATCTCGGGTCTGAGATGGCTGCAGGATTTCTTGAGAGCTCGGGAGAAGACCACCCCCGACGTGTCGAACATAGCTTTGACGCTCGGCCGGCTTGGTGTTGCAGCTGCTGAAATTGGAACATCGTTCAACACCACTTCGCCGTGGCGCAGTCGGCACATGCTTGCTGTGCTCCGATGTGACCTAACTTTCATCTTTTGGTGCCCAAGGAAGCTGAACGAGGTGCTGGAGCAGCTAGGAGCTGAGATGCTTGTCCATGCCCAGCTCTGGCAAGCTGACTGACCCTTGACCTGTCTGTGAGGGTATGCAGTGGCCCAGCAGCATCGGTGCAGAGCGTGCGTGCTTCCCCCTGCCACCGATCACAAGCACAGTGCTCCACTGAGGGAAGGGCTGAAGCAGGCGGGCCTGACAGAATTGCGGAAGGAGCAGCCGCGCTTGAGTGTGCCATTGCCAGGTCTTCATTGCTACCGATGCGCCCGATGACCTCAGAGCTGCGCTGCAGGATCAGGTTCGGTGACACGGTCGCGTTGGCAAGGGTTCAACAACAATACTTCTGTCTTGTGATCTCTCGTTTCCCATTGACACTTCCAAGCTGAGTTGGAGGTGCACGGAGTCGTTGTCTTCTACGCCTGGGGCCCGGTGAGTGACATTCAGAGTCGACCGGGTTTTGTCCTCAGTGTGCAACTGTCAGTTTCAAAAGGTACTGTGCAAGATGGTGCCATGATGGTGCAACAAGGATAAGAAGAGCGGTGCCAAGCAATTCGACCACAAGGGCAAGCAGGCCACGATCCGCGGCGAGGGCTGGGCTGTGTAAGTCTCGAGGCGCTGTCCAGGCAAGGCAATCTGATGCGCTTTGTTTATGTTGAGTTGCTGCCCATGTATCCTAGTTGTTGCTGAAGAGATGAGGGCAGCATCGTGTACCTGAAAGACCCGCAAAGACCAGATCAATCTTGGTTCTACCCCGATGCTGCTACAGTGTGTCTGCAACCGTGCGCCATTCCGTCGGCACTGGCTCAACGGCCAACCCACACTCTGGCAGATGCCGGCAATCAGACGCTTGGCTTGTGAGAGCCACAAGCATGCCTTAGCTCAGCTTGCAGAAGTCCCCAAGAAGCTTCGTTAAACCGGATCTGAATTGCAGCGTCGCAATAAGCCAAGGAGCTTCCAGCCTGAAGCGGCAACTCGTCCTTAGCTTCCTTCAGACAGAGGATCATGTCGAGTCAAGGACCTCTGCGTGACCGCTTCGTGATCACAAAGCCTCGCAGCATCGTCGGTAGGAAGTCTGCTTGCTGAACCAAAGCCGGCGGCACGGCATGCTGAGCATCGCTGAGCCGAGGCAGTCTGCATCTTTTTGTTTCATCGTCTTGCTGGCTCCTCAGCTCTGTGTCGAAGGGAGGGTAGGGAGGAGGTGCTGGTGGTGTAGCTGTAGCTGTGAGTAGCTTCTTTCGCTGCATTCTTCTTCGCATCTCCTGCATCACATTTGTGCACCCTTGTGCATCGAGGACAGCCGTGATGGCTTCTGAAGAGCGACCGCAGCGAAACGCTGTGGCACTTCCGCTTCGCGGACAGCTTTGCTGTCAGCGAGCTTAGACCCTTTCAACACCCACATCAAACCAGCCCATTAGGGCCTCAGCACAATGCAGCCTGAAGCAGAGCCAGAGGCAGATCATGATGTTTTCGAGTCATACGAGCTTTTACAGAATCGGAAGTTCATGGTGCAACTCATCCTGGCCCTAGCTCAGAACGACAATTCCAAATCCAAAGCATTGCCCGGCAGAGGCCTCGACAACCAAATATTGTCCCAGAAAGGAAGCTGGGATACATTCGTCGTACGAGATCAGAGGAAGTGCACGGGAACTCAGCATAAACTACAAGCCACTCCACAACACTTCTTCCACATCATCGCCATCTCTCACTTCCAGGACGGGTGAGGGCATTTTGGAGTTCGTGCAGTGTTTCGTCAGAAGCTGCAGCTTTCCAGGACTCGGTGGCCCGTGGCTCCAGCTCCTAACAGAGCAACAACCGGCGTCCAAAATCTGTACTCAGTCAAAGCATCTTTAGTTTTAAACAGACTCACTTCACGGAGCCGTGGAGCCACGGGACACCGAAACGCCGGAGCCAGCGAACGGAAGCAGAAGCCGCCCTCCGATGTCGAGCCTCTCCGTCGAGGTGCACCCGAAGCTGTGCGTGCTTCCGGAAGTTTGTTTGTGGGAGACATTTTGTTTGCTCTGAGTCTCACGGGTGATTCTGTGTTTGTTCGTTCAGGCAACGATGATCCCCCCCCTGCCAACACCAGGCATGTGGCAGGCTGGCTTTTCGGCCTTCCAGGGGTTGGGATGCAGGGATCCGAAATTTCTGGCTCGCTTGATTCGGCCATGCGCTTTCAGGTGAAGCCGTCTCCTCGTGTCGACGTGCCATTTCCAGAGCTCCCGTCCGATGCAGACACGGAGGGGCTCCCAGGGCCAGGGTTAGGCGAAGGCTGGAAGACTCCTGATCCGGCACTGTCTTGGGCTTCCAGGAGCTGCCGTCCTGGCGCACAGGGCTTCACAGTGCCCGACACCTACTGCGACGAGGGATAAGAGGGATCAGCGCCGAAGGGGCACAGATCAGGATTGGCGGCTCCGATTGGGCCCGTCAGTCTTTGACATCCACAAGGCTGGAGCGAAAGGCTCTGCAGGACGCAAGGCTGTGGGGCTTTTGCGCTCGGGCAGGTCTTGACGGGCCATGGACCACGGGCTTCGGCATTTCTCTGCAGTGTGAGGGCCCCCAAAAAAGCCCTCTGAGTCGAGCGAGCGGAGACATGCAGAGACTGGCTGCTGGTTTTGCTGAGGCCTTCACAACCGGCCAGCAACTCGCGACTGGGAGCCCTGTGGGTCCTGGGGGCCATGTGCTGGCCTCAGTTGGCCCTTCTTGCTCTAAACGCGTCTCGAGCTGCATCGGAAGGCCGGGGCCTACGGAGCCTTTGACGGGATGTATGACGAATCGGGTGGAGGCACGGTCACTCCGTGCATCTCCCATGCAGATGTGATTGAAGCAAAAGAAAGTGGTCGGGAACCGACTGCAAACCCACATCCGGCGACTACAGCAGATGCGATGCATGTTGTTACGACTCCCCAATCCAAAACAGGATGTGGCCGCATTTTCGAGACAGACTTGTCGCACATCTTGCCCGAGCAGGTCGGGCTGCCGAGATCTTTGGAGTAGATTCGAAGAAGCATGTCGCAGCTCTTGCTCTCAGGTGTGGCCCTTCTTTTCTCAAGCGTTGGATTTCATCTACTCCGAGGCCTGTGGCCTCGTGCAAAGTGTTTCGTCACATGCCACCGTGGCGCAGGACTTGGTCTTGAATGAGGAGAATGCCGTTCCACTACTCAGGTGTGCTGAGAGCTTAGCTCGGTCGGTTGAGCCTTGGTGCCAGCTTTCATGCAGCGCTCATGCGGAGGCGCGCTTTGTCTAGCATAGAACGATGGATTTGAACTGGGGTTTCGGGCAGATGGCGCACGCCCAGGGGGTGGTGCGATCCTACGGAACACTGTTGTAGAACCGGCTTGTAAGACTGGGCCGTGAAAGGGACTTGAGATCTACAGCGTTCCCTTGTAGCTTTGAGTTGAGCAGCTTGCAGACCACGAGTTCGATCATCGCAAGATGCAGTATCATGCAGGGCTTAGGGACTCTACTAATTGTGGCACACTGACTGGGTCTGCAACAAAAATTTATCGTGTCTACCATGCCACCGCCGGGCCGTCCAGGCTCCAGTGAGATTGTTGTTTGCCAACCAGACTGCGTGTCATTGAGCCTTGCCCGGTGACTGCAGGGCACACGGATGCACAAGAGCACAGAGGCAGCTGCAGAGCTGCCCCGCACAATTCCCAGCTTGCAGAGACCATCTTTTGTGAACCTTCGGCGAGAGCTGCCCAGAGCACAATTCCCAGCCATGGCCGGCCGGCCGGACCTTGGCGGATGAGGCTGGAGCCTGGAATTTTAAAGCCGGAGCACGCTGGAGCACGCTGGAGCTGCGTGGAGGCCGACCTCGTGCTACGCCTTGCTCGGATGTTTGGTGCCCTCAGCATGTCAGACTCCAGAAGCCTCGGATTCCGATCCCTGGGAGCAAACACCCCGTGCACTTGAGGTGCAGACACTTCCTTGCGTCAGTTCATTCCGGGAAGATGCCTCAGCCCCAGCTGCAGGGAAAATCGTTGGGAGTTTGTTTGGATTTGCACGGTTGGCGTTTTGTTCCCGAAGTACTCGTGCGGTGCGGCAGCCCGGGCAAGTGGGTTTTCTTCTGCGCTGGTGGGGAGGGGCTTTGCTGCCGCATCTGCCGCTCAACTGCCTGAGCGAGACGAGGCTAATCACGAAGGCAAGCGGAGCCTTGAGTTGGTGCTGCGTTTGGGCACATCAAGGTCCAGGAAAGCAGTGAACACTTGATCATAGAAATAAAGGGGACTTCACTTCTTTCTCTCTCTGTTCTTGCTCTTCCCTCTCTTTCTCTCTACCTCTCTCTCTCTCTCTCTCTCTCTCTCTCTCTCTGCCGAGACAACAGCTGTGTGAGCCAAGAGCTAGTATTCGTCGCCCTCGGCTTGCTCCTCAAGTTACTTTTCGAGTCAACTCTTGTGCAGGCCCTGTGCAGCACTTGCTGGCCCCTCCCGAATGAGACCCAACCGGGCTCAGGCCATCACACGTCGCAGTGAGGTGGCGTCCTCGAATGTCAGGTCAGAAGCTCCCAGGAGCATCCAAGCTTCAAACAAATTCTTCGTAGGGGAACGCTAGGCGGGTGGGGGTGCGAAGCACTCTATTTTTTTTACTAATTTCGAGAAAGACTGCAAAAAAAAGAAACCTAAGCGACAGCGCAAACGTTTTGTCGTTCTGTCAGTGTACGCCGAGCGCGCAGCTTTAGGGTTTAGGGTTTCAGGGCTTAGCGTCTAGGGTTTAGGGTTTAGGGTTGGTTTTAGGGCACGGAGTCCAGGGTTTAAGTTTTTTTTTTTAAAGGCTTCGGGTTTAGGGTTTAGAGTGCAGGGTTCAAGGTTTAGGGTTTAGAGTTTAGTGTCTATTGAGTTTAAGGTCGAGGGTTTAGGGTTTAGGGTACAGGCAAGGCTAAGGATGCAAGGCTTACGGTTTAGGGTTTAGGTTCTAGGGTTCCATGCGTACGGAGCAGAGTCTAGGGTCTAGGCGAAGCTACGAAGGTTTCACGCGTTACACGAGGACCGCCTAACACCGACGGCGGAGGGAGCGGGGGGAACCAGAGGTTCGGGTTTTTCAAGGTTTGTTGAGGGATTAGGGTGTCGTTTCTTTTCGGGTTTTCGGGTTTAGGGTTTCCGGTTTGGGGACGCATGCCCGGGACTGAGCCTCATCAACCGTGACTTTCTCAGGCCCAACCCGTACATCGGAAGCAAGATTCCGGATCTCCTTGATTTGATTGTAGTCCTTCTTGGTCCACTCTGAATCGATTTGGGGCGAATGGGAGAACAGCTTTGTGTTTCCGCAGCTTGAAGCCCGCCTGTGCTTCGCAAAGGGCTTCTCCTGGCAGCATCTGCACATCATGGCGAAGGCGGGGTTTAAGGGGGTGATTTGTGAGCGGGAGCCCCCGAGCACGACGCGAGGGCTGATGCAAGGGCCTGACCAGGCTGACGGAGATGACGACTGGTGGTACCCGAGTCGTCAGGCCAAACTCGCTGACGTGCTCCTGAAAATTCGACGTACAAGTTCAGTCACTGTTTGGTTTGCAGGGGATAGATAGCCACAAGAGAACGTTGGAGCATGTTCCGACTGTTTGGAGGTGCCGAAGCCGCAGAACCCTGAGTGTGACAGCGCTGTAGACTTACTCAAGAGCATGGTGGGGGCCTTATGGGGCCTTGGCATTCTGCCTTGACCATCGTCCGAGGCTGAGGTTTGAGCACCTCTTGAATTTTTTGTTTGGGATAGGTCGTTCCACACTGGCTTCATGGGGCCTCTGGTTTCAACCGGGGCCCTGCAGGATGATTTCTCTACCGTTTCGGTGCGTGACGAGCACATGCGATAGCACGTACGACTGTTTTTTTTCGCGCCCCGCACTGATGCAGAAGAGGTGGATGCCGACCGGCACTTCGAGATTGTACTCGGAGTCTTGGTCTCAGTCTGTGTCAGAGACTCCGCAGCATTGACGATGCGCACCACCAAGCCCCAAACCCGGCTCTGAGGCAGTCTTGTTCATTGCTGTCTTGGGCGCTTTGGGTTCGAGCTGCTTCCTTATCGGTGGCAAGGCCCCATCCACAGGGTTGCATAACGTTGCATAGTTGCTCTGGGACATCAGCTTCGTTTCCAACGCAGCAGTGGGACCAGTTACGATAAGGGAGTACCTGAATTGCTTCGTCGTTCCGTAGCCGTCGACCCTCAAGCTTTCCAGAGGCCTCGCGAAACACGTCCTGATCTGTTCTGACAGACATGCCAAAGTCCGCCATGAAGTCCAAGGCTATGAAGGCAGCCAAGGCCATGACCAAGGCACAGCTGGCGGATCAACTCGCCACCAAGTCGGAGCTCAAGAAGAAGGACCGCGGGGCCCTGTGTGGGCTCGGTCATGCTCGGCCGCGTTCTGGTCCAAGTTGCACGTCGTACGTCGGAGTTCATGCCGATGTCGAGCACTACCGCATGTGAGCATTCTGACCTGACCCCTGTCGGAGCTCCAAGAATTTCAGCGCCAAGTCGAAAGTCTTGGCAGGATGTGATGTCGGTTCTGCAGGGGCTCTCCGAGATCGGTGCGAGTGAGGTCTCCAACACCGGCAAGCCTCTTGACGGTTCTGTCTTTCTTGTGTTCGGGCCATCTTCGACTCCTACGAAATCCGGCAGTTTGCAGAACCGCCCAGGTTTGTTCTGCCAGGGCTCTGCATGATCAAGACGCGCCCCGTGCTCAGCTGGCAGCTGGAAATAGCTGGAACAAATGTGGAAGTCTGTTAGGTTTGTCTCCTGCAGAGCTGAATCAGGTCAGAAGCCAGCGACGAAGGCTACCACCNNGATGTTCGGGAAGGCGTTTGGGGTTTGGGTTCAAGGGCTTGGGGTTCAGAGCAAAGCGCTTGCCCACATAGAGACGTCTCGCTCTGCCCCGGCAGGAGGTGCAGATCAAGGCACAGAAAGCTCGGACGATCGTGAAGGCACAGGTGTTGGCGGCGCTCAAGAGCCAGGTGTAAGGGGTTGGCTCTGAGCTGGCACTACAGCTGGCTCCGTGCTTGTCGATGGGGTTCGACGGTGGGCGCGTGAAGCGAGCTGTAGTTTGAGAGATGTGTTCGTGCGCGCCTAGTCGCACAACGTGTACTCCTCTACGTGCCCGCGAGAAACAGAGGCCGCGCGGCACTCGCACTCACGTCAAACATGTGGATGCAGTATCGAAGCGTGCCTTTCGGTTGCAGCCCTGTTCAATTCAACTCAGCTCCTGCTTAGCTAGGAACAGAGCTGCCCTGCGCTTCCGCCCAAGGTGGCGGCGCAGGCACCATGGCGGATGCCACGTCGGCGGGGCAACCGCCAGGGGAGGGCGAGGAGGCCGAAAAGCAAGCGGAGAACGACAGCGTGATCCTGGCTGGCCTGGAGGGCAATCCGGCGATGAAGAGCATCCGCGAAGTCATGGTTGCACTCCGAACGTCAGGGAAGGAATCTAAGGGTCCGGCGGATCAAGCAACGAGCGTGGGCCTGCCGGCAACCTTCTCCGTCCCGACCGGCTCGGACTTCTACATAAACTCCATGATCATAGTCGGGGTCGCGATCCTGTTAGCCTACATCACCAGTGCAGGCATTGCTTTTTTTGTGGGCTTTGGTAAACATGATGATGAAGAACTGCGGGCAGGATTTCTGGAAAACGGACGGGGATGCTGCATGCAACGCGAAGATGGTCAATGCGTTAGTGCTCTCCATCGAGCTGCGTTGCTTCGACAACAAACCTTCTTCGATGCTCCAAGAAGACTTCGACGACATGTGCTCGGGCTTCTGGATAGAAGTTGCAGTGAATGTGTTCGTCTTTCTCGTGACGATTGGGAGCATCTTGTATTCGGAGCTTGGCAAGCTGGCTTCCAAGGTGACCTTCCACGAGAACCTCTTCGTGGTCGAGTCCTGGCACGGCAAGCTCTTCCAGTGCAGCTTTTTTGCCGACGTCATTCAGGCCAAGAGCACGAGCTCTGGCCTCGAGATCACCAGCAAGGCCAGGGTGCGCACAGAGACGGACGGCTCCAACAGCGGAGGGGGTGGTGGCTTTTTTGGGAGAAAAAAGAAAGAGCAGATTCTCAGCATCAACGGGGATGCCACGATGTCCGTCCTTGCTGGCAGCAGCGAAGCGAAGTGCAGCTTCCTGCAGGAGCGCTACATCGGTTGGGCTCATCACAAGACTGAAGAAGTTGCTTGAATCTTGTTGTCAGATCGTTGCAACTTTCTGCAGTTCAGCACAGCTCGGCAAGGAGTTCGCAAAACGTCTGCCTGTGAGCATCCAGGGCTTCGATGGTGTGGCGGAGGTCGATGGTGCGACCGAGGCCCCGCCTCCTGGTCTCATACAAAGCACATGCGAAGCAATACGAAGCTGTGGCAAGACACTGTGCATGTCAAGGCCTAGACTTCAAGGGCACGGCTTATGTTACGGCGCTTGCGTTGGTTTTGTTAATAAGCTCTGCAAGCCTTGAATCCGCAGCGATATAAGAGGGGAGGGAAGCTCTGTAAGAGTGTATCAGATGAGTCCAGTGTGAAATCGGTCAGGCCCGCGCCTCCGCGAGCTCTGCGAGCTGCACGAGCCTGCTGGAGGGACGACTAGGAAGCCTGTTGGCAGCGCGCCGAGGGGAGGGAGACAGAACAACTGCTCGCAAGTCCATCTCCTGCGACTTCTACGCGGAAGTTCTCTTCATCGTTCTGATTTCAGCTGTCGGCTACTACTGCTTCTCTGTACTAACAAACATCATTGGTTGGGCGATGGCCACGGGAAGGGGGAAGTGCAGCCATGAGATGAAGCCCGACGTGGACTTGTGCGACTTCGTCCGCGTCTTCTCTCCGATCGAGCTTCCGTTGGTTGCCGTGGAGGAGTACATCAATATTGCAGGCCTCGCGGTCGCGTGCATTGTCTATCCGATTTGGACCTTCATGAACCTCCCTTTTGAGTACAGGTTCCACGGAGAGGTGGTCGAGGAGCTCCTCTTCGCCGGGTGGGAGTCCCAGGCGAGTACCATGATCGTTCAAGGAGACGTCGAGGGCTTGGAACTGGTTTGGGGATCCCTGGAGAAGTACATCAAAGCCAAGATCAGCGCGATCTACACAGTCAAGCAGGGGGTCACCAAGCCCTTCGAAATCACGGCAAAGTTCTCGCCTCAGATGGAAATGAAGATTGGACTCGTCGACAATGATTGCGCCTCGTGCAGCGGCCATGGCACGAAGGCTTTGAGCTACAAAGAGTCGGTCATGCGTGCCCTCAACGCTGCCAAGCCTGGACTCTTGCAGATGCCCGCAGAAGAGGCGAGGATGGAAGCATAAGCTACGGAGAAGTCGCACTTCCCCGAAGAGTTGCAGCGGCTCGCCGAGAGAATCACATCATGGGCTTTTGCAGTGGTGTGTCAGTTCTTACTTCCAGTTTCTACTCGTACGACTGGCGCAGCGGTCAAGGAACTCCGCTCACGTAAGTCGACGTAAGTTTAAGAAGTGTGCAGAAGGTACGTCTACACCATCCACTTGCACAATCTTACACATGTACAGCTTGCCTACATGCAACGAAACCCCTGACGACGCCCTAAACTGGGCCTGGTCTAGTGACACGATCCACATCGCACGTTTTTCCCTGCGTGGCGTGCTTTGACAGTGGAGTTCGCCCAAAACAAATCAAGGGGCTGTCCGGTTTCGGTAGTTGCGGCTACACGCGTGCATCTAGATTGCTCGCTTGCAGTCTCGCCCGTCAGAGCTTCAGCCAACCTGAGGGAAACCGATAGAAGGGTCTCTGCCGAAACGTCGTGTCGCCCCGCCACATAGCAGCCGTCGACCCTCAAGCTTTCCAGAGGCCTCGCGAAACGCGTCCTGATCTGTTCTGACAGACATGCCAAAGTCCGCCATGAAGTCCAAGGCTATGAAGGCAGCTAAGGCCATGACCAAGGCACAGCTGGCGGATCAACTCGCCACCAAGTCGGAGCTCAAGAAGAAGGACTGCGGGGCCCTGTGTGGGACCCCTGTCGGAGCTCCAAGAATTTCAGCGCCAAGTCGAAAGTCTTGGCAGGATGTGATGTCGGTTCTGCAGGGGCTCTCCGAGATCGGTGCGAGTGAGGTCTCCAACACCGGCAAGCCTCTTGACGGTTCTGTCTTTCTTGTGTTCGGGCCATTTTTGACTCCTACGAAATCCGGCAGTTTGCAGAACCGTCCAGGTTTGTTCTGCCAGGGCTCTGCATGATCAAGACGCGCCCCGTGCTCAGCTGGGAGCTGGAAATAGCTGGAACAAATGTGGAAGTCTGTTAGGTTTGTCCCCTGCAGCGAGCTGAATCAGGTGAGAAGCCAGCGACGAAGGCTACCACCNNGATGTTCGGGAAGGCGTTTGGGGTTTAGGTTAAAGGGTTTGGGGTTCAGAGCAAAGCGCTTGCCCACATAGAGACGTCTCGCTCTGCCCCGGCAGGAGGTGCAGATCAAGGCGCAGAAAGCTCGGACGATCGTGAAGGCACAGGTGTTGGCGGCGCTCAAGAGCCAGGTGTAAGGGGTTGGCTCTGAGCTGGCACTACAGCTGGCTCCGTGCTTGTCGATGGGGTTCGACGGTGGGCGCGTGAAGCGAGCTGTAGTTTGAGAGATGTGTTCGCGCGCGCTTAGTCGCACAACGTGGACTCCTCTACGTGCCCGCGAGATGGAAAAAGACACGAGCTAGACAGACCTCTCGAATGCTCCTCTACAATTCATGGTCGCAGCGCTGCTTACTCTCCCGGCTATGTACATTTTCCCCGGAAGGTGAAGCCACGACCGCCCGGTTACTGGACGAGCAGGATTGCCTGGGTTGGGCTCTGCGGGCGTTAGATGTCGTACACCATTGCACGGCCTTCGGGTTGCGGCATGAGGCATACCGGAGGATTCCAGCTCAAGCTCTGCGCAGTCGGATATTGTACTTGTGTGAGCCTTGCAGACTGGACTGTGGCCCGGGTTCGGAGGAGTTGGAACCCTTTTCACGACGACTTTCGAGCAGAGGCTTGTTATCCGGTCAATATGGCTTCGTGACGTCACACATATCCGTGTTGCACTGGGCGGCACAGGGTTGGCTACATTGAGCTCCGAACTATGATTTTTGGCTCGGTGCTTCGGCTGTCATCAACGGAGGTGTCCGTGGAATCCCTTCGCCACAACGCTTACGTAACGCTTATCCCTAAGCGGTACACAACAGCAGAGCAAGCACGAGAGTTGAACTCTTGCTGGCTGAGGTTACCTCACACAAACACAAACCGAACTGGATTGGATTGCTAGTCAATCCTACTAGTAGCACAGTCTCATCGCAAAATAGCGCTGCAGTCCTCAAGGTGAAGGGCTCTCGTATCTGCTTTCGCCCACTGTGCCGTGTCTCTCCTGTGATGGAGGTAGACGTCACCATGGAGCTACGTGACACAGTGCAACAGCTCTTCGACATGACCACTCGGAAGGACTTTAACTGAGAACTGCACGGTTTCAGTGCATGTCGCGCTGGCATGTGCCGTCGGTCAGCCAATCCCAAACCGACCAAAACAGCTGAGGAGGCTATGGGCATCGGACGCGATGGCTCCTGGGCCACCCACAAATCCTTTCGTGTCCTGCAGGCCAGGGGCGCATCGGCTGGGCTGCCGTTGGCTCACTGGGACAGTTACGGGTGTAGACACAGCATGACGAAGGGAGATGGAGCAATGCAAGATGTGAGTGGCCGCGCGGTCTTTCCGCCAGGTGACACGTGTGGAGAACGGCAAGCTGTGGACGGACTATGTGCGCTTTCGGCGCAACATCAGCCGGACGCAGGAGCTCCGTTCTGCAAGCCCGTTGATACCCAGCACATGATCATTTCGAGAGGGCCGGGTTTGCAAAACTGAGACAGGGTGTGCCGTTTCAAGTTAACTTGGGAGCTGCACGGTGACTTATGTGATCTTATGATCTTATGTAAACTCGCACCTGTTGAATTCATTGTGCGATAGGTTGTATTTCAAAAGCGGTGTTCAAGAATACTTAGCAACAGTAAGATATGCATGAGTGGAGTCGCAGGCCACTATGAGGCGAATGGAAAAGGCCGCCGCATCGCCTTTTGTCGATGCCGAATGTGTTCTGTGTAGTGCAGCTACAGGTATCAAGTCGCTGACAGTTCCGCAGGATTGCACATCCAAGACTGACGCTTTGCGGAACTTGCGGACTCGTTCTGTCACGGCTCAGGAAGGCGCTCCTTGTCGCGCCGAGCTGAAGCGCACGCAGGAGGCGCTGCAGGCCGGGCAGCATTGGCCAGCATCTGGCTGGAATTTTTGAACGTTTCCAGCACGCATAGATGCACGTGGTCAAGGCGAGGAGAAGGCATTCAGCAGTGAGTGTTTTCTTGGGGCTCACCGAGTTCGGAGTAAGGGTGGTTTGGGAATGGAGACCGCGAGGGGCAAATTGAGTCCTATAGGCTTTGCTGCACATGCGCCGTTCGAGGTCCGTACAAGACGAACCAATCACTGGAGCAGCTCAGGCGGCCGCCTTGCGTGCAAGGCGCCATGTCTCGTCGGAAAATTCGCAACAGTTCAGGAATAAGGGTTTTTTTTCAGCCTTGCTTGCGAGCCTCGGTCAAGATTGCGAGGCCAGAGCCTTCAAACAGATGGCCTTTCGCCAGGCCACTTCGACCTGAACTTGTTCTGGAACGACGAGGCTTTTCAGCTTTGCAGCTGCGACTTTGATATCGACATCTGCGAACAATGTGACAATGACTTCGAGTACTTCAATCAAGCTTAAGTCTCCGAGCCCCCATTCATTCTGGAGCTCGCGGCCCGGGACTTGCAAATCGTGTGATCCCCGACCATCACCCCCTAGCCCAGCTTGTCATGGTGCCTGCAAAATTTCACCCGGAATTTGGGGAGAAGACCAAGGACGTGTGACAAAGCCCCCCATCTGAGAAACCCCGAAGGTTCACATCGGTCGACCGTGGCGGGAGAAAGGGGTCCGGAGCTCATGGCCGATCGGCTTTACTTGAAGCCTTGTAGCTGTGCCGTATGCACCGAAGTGGGGATGGCAAGCTGCTTAGGTTGTAGAGTGTACTGTACACCTTCGCGGCCCATTCATACCCAAAGAAATAAAGCCGGCATTGGCATCAAAGCCCATAGCCTTCGCAGCTCGAGGTGCCGCTGTGCATTTGCAGCCATGAGCGCTTTGACTCTGTGATGGGCGACTTCGGCATTGACGGCCAGATGAAGCAGTGCAGAGCCTACCTTTTTGCCCGAAAGAATTCCGCACAGCTTTTCGCAATGTTCGAGCAGAATGCCTCACCGAGAAGCTGAGCCACAGAAACTATCATGTAAGTCACGAACCTGTGTCAGAAACCCTGTCGCCATCCTGGTAAGAGCTTCAACTCATGATTCCAAGGTATCGCGAGTTCGTCGTCTACGAGAAGCAATGCTATCCGGAGTTCTGCGTCATCTACGAGCGCATGCCCTGAGCTGGTGCTGCCATGAAGTGGCCACAGCCTATCTCACAATCAGCCCTGAGGGGCATTGGTCATGAAGGTAATCCTTGCGGCTTAGCCGCTTGAGATCCTTTCACCATCGACCGCAGCCATTGACCATGTGCCCAGATGTGCCCAGTTTCGCAGAAGGCCATGAAAACACATGATGCAGCAGCGGAACGAGGCCTCCCTTCACCTAGCATTCTGGCTCGCATCCTACATTCTCAGCCAGCTGTTCAACCATTCGCAACTTCAAAAGCCGAGGCGGATGCCTTGCAGATTCGCTCTTTGTTCCTGCGCTGTCGGGGCCCTGGGATACGACAGTCGGACGGTAAGTCTCGGACTTCGTTTTTGCCAAAAGCGTCTGCATGCAGCGCTTGTTGAGTGCTGTGGTGGGTCCAACATACCGCTCAGGCGTGGAGGGCATCAACGAGATCCTGTCAGTGCCGACAGCGCCGAGGTCACACAAGCGGCACCGAAACTAGCATGACCATACCGGGTTTGCCGTTAAGTCGATGGTAGGCATCGAAGGCAGCTCGTTCAGCAAAAGTCCCTGCAGGATTCTTTCGGACAGCTTCTCCATCCTAGGGGGACCTTTGGCAGAGCAGTGCCGGCCTCAGCAAGTCTTAGCCTCCTCAGCTTCAGCTCTAGAAGGGATGGGGAGATGCGGAGAAGTCCCCGGGCGCAGGATCTCGAAGGCGGCGACGGATGTGATCGCCGAGCACTTCGACGAGTACTGCACCGCAGAGCTCCAGCTCGGGCCCCGGCCCAGCGTCAGAGAGGTGAGTGACGGTGAGCGAAACCTTCCTTATAAAGCTTAAAGCCGTTTCTCTGTAAGACCTCGAGAGCAGGCGCTTGCCTCCGAGCACCTTGGCCCAAATCCTGCGGAGAGACGACATCTCCGTTATGCATGAGAACGAGGCCCGTCGGCCCTGAACTTCAGACCATGCGCAAATTGTCGCAACTGCGAGAAGCAGCGTCAGCACATCTCGGATTTCGCACGCAGAGCGTTGGAACTGCGGACCTGCCCGAATTCAGATCTTCGACTTCGTGGCGGATGCAGCGCAGAACTTGACCTTCAGCGGAAGGGCGGCCGAGGCACGTCAGCAAGTCTTGCCAATACTCTCTGAAATATAATTGGCGTGAAGTGCATCTTGGGGAGGCGACGCAGCTCTGGCAGCCCATGCCTTGAGCCACTGTTTCTTTATCACTTGCCTTAGCCCTTGAAGCAACGACGCAGCGCTTCCGCCAAGGTCCATCCGCTTCGGCGCCCTCTCCAACAGTTACATGGCCGGGTCGCCGAGAGTGCATTGAACGGATGATCGGTTCTGCACTGGCCGTAGCCTGCCTCCTCTTCCGGTTCCTTCAGGTCCGGGCGGCCCAGGTCGAGACGATCCCGCGGATGACGCTCATTTGGTCCAAGGCGCGGGCCCACATCGCCCGTCTTGCGGAGCCACGGGTTGATCGCAGTCAGAGGTCCTGAATCGCAACGGCAACCAGGCCCTTGAGGCCTGCTCTGTGAATCCGTGCGACGTGACTCCTTGCAGATCCTTGTGGACTGGCATTGACATGTCCATGATGCCCCCGCATGGCAGAAGCTGATGAACGAGCAGTGCCTCTCCGAGGGTTGGCCTATCCCAGCTGCGCCAAATCCGAGGAAGCCCTTCAAGGACTGCGGCACAGTCAAGCATGCGCGGGGGCTCCCGTCACATGGTGGCATAGGATTCATAGCTAAAAGTGGCGGAGCGTGTATCCAGACGGAGTCATGATGGGTGCGATCGCATTGTCTGATGAGTTGTCTGCAGGACATGACTTGCCTGGACCTCGACGTGTTTGCTTAGCGAGCATGGTGTATCCGAGTAGTAACTGAGTAGTAATGGAAGGAAGAGAACAAGGTATGCTGGTGATTCGTACATAACCACAACCACAACCTCAGGCACGGGGTTCGGCAGCTACGCTCTGCATGCTTGATTTCTGTACCGAGCTATATTGTCGGCTTGCCTTTTTGGCTTGTGCCTGCTAGCTAGAGCCAAAAACTGGCTCGCCAGAGAAACCTTTGACGGCATGATGTGTCCAGTTGGTCGCTGTGATCGGTCGAACGTTCGACGACTCGACAGTTGTTCTGCGGGACCCGGTGAACCACCGGTAGATCCAGTGCTTGACTACGTAGGTACATGACAGACAGACATACATACATACATGCATACATACACAGACACATACAAACATACATACATGCATACATACACAGACACATATATCTATATCCATACATCTAATATAACGTATATATATATATATATATATGCACACACACACACACTCACGCAAGCACGAATATCTGCCGGCCAGGCTATCTACCGGGCAATATGTGTATCCACCGATCGATCTGCCTAGCTACCTATCATTACCTATCTACCTACCACCTACCTACCTACCTACCTACCTACCGACCTACCTACCTACCTACCTACCTACCTACCTACCTACCTACCTACCTACCTACCTTACCCTACCTACCTACCTACCTACCTACCTACCTACTTTCCTAGCTGTATCTATATGGGATCCCCTGGCGAATGTGGCGTGCAACGTACGAATGTGGGTTTCCGAGATGCAAACTTTCTGGTCTGCTTTGGGGTTCAACATGCAAAGGTGGGTTTTCGAGATGCAGCAGAGATGCAAACGGCTGGGGGCGTGGTATTAGAGTGAAATAGTAAGTAACAGACAGAAAAGTAGTAAATAGTAAAATAGTGATTAGTTAGCACAATAGTGCAGTAGTGAAAGAGAAATTTTAAAATCCCGGCTCACCGGCGCAGTTCGGTTTTCGAGATGCAAACTGCGGGGGGCGTGGTGGAATAGTGAAACAGTAAATGGTAAGCAGTAACATAGTATATAGTACAATAGTAAAATAGTACAGTAGTACAAAAGAAATGAAACAGTAAGATACTAGAACCCTGGCTCAACCGGCACACTTCGGTTTACGTGATGCAAACGGCTTGGGGTGTGGTAGCATAATGAAATACCAAACAGTAAACACTACAGTACCAGTAGTAAATTAAATTCGACCGGCACAGTTCGGTTTTCGAGATGCAAATGGCTGCGGGGGCTGGTTGAATAGTAAAATAGTAAATAGTAAACAGTAAATAGTACACGATAACATAGTAAATAGTACAATGGTGAAATAGTAAAATAGTAGAAATCCTGGCTCAACCAACCGGCACAATAGTACAATAGTACACTGGTGAAATAGCAAAATAGTACAATCCTGGCTCCACCGGCACAGTTCGGTTTTCGAGATGCAAACCACTGGGGGCGTGGTAGAATGGTACGCAATATTCAGTAAACTGTAAAAAGTAGTACAATAGTACAGTAGTGAAATAGTAAAGTAGAGAAATGGTAAACTCCTGGCTCAATCGGCACAATTCGGTTTCCGAGATGCACCGGCGGCTGGGGGTGTGGTAGAATAGTAAGATAGTAAATAGTAAATAGCAAATAGTAAATCATGAATTTCGTAAGTTGTACATAGTACAATAGTAGAATAGTAAATAGCAGTACAGTACTAAAATAGTAAAATAGCAATATAGTAGTATCCTGGCTCAACCGGCACGTCAAGATTGCGTCAAGTGACAAGCTGTTTCCGGTGAGCACTTCTCCGTTGCCAGATAGGATGCTGCGCTGCCTCTTTCGTGTCTCTCAAGGTGCCGTGATGTACTCCGTCGACACTGATGCTCGCAATGACCAGGATGTCGAGCGAAACATCACTGCGGCGACCCCAGAACTGGTGACTTTACAGAAGCGCTGAGCTCATGCTGGCCGTCCAAGGCCGCGACGCTGGTGGCCGAGGAGATCGAGTTCCTCGGGGGCCGGGCCATTTTGGAGAACATCTTTGCAAGGCACCCGTGAGCGTGCCGCGTTCGCACGGACTGCATCCGCCAGCTTTCGCTGCAATCAAAAATGCCCCCCCAGCCACAGTACTCATCAAATGCAACCGGCGCAGGCAACCGCCGCTGCGGGACTGTGCTGAGGGAACCATCATCAACATGGAGCAGGTTGGCTGGCAGGTCTGTAGATATTTTGTGTGAACTGATATATGGGTCCTGCATGCCTGCATCGAGGCTGGAGTGAAGCATGAACAAGCTACTTCACACGATGATAGTTCTTGAGGTGAAGTTCTTGTGATTGCAAGTGACAGGTTCAGCAACAGCTTTGCCAAAGAAGCCTCATATCGGGTCGTTTTGGCAGCCGCACTTGCGCTCACTCTTGCATGGGAACGTTGAATTTGCTCAATGCCCAGTCTCATGAAATTACAATTACTCCAACACAAGCCGGGTCGTCTCCCCAGGTCGACGTGGCCTTCGTCCTGGCACCATGGACACCCTCCGACAAGCGCATCGCCCGTCTGATCAACTTCGTTGACCAAGGTCCCAACGACAAGGGTACCAGAGGCTTCGGTTGAGTCCTTCAGCTGAATTGATTCTTCCTCATGAAGGCGGCGGGGCCGTGCTGCTCTCTTTCATTGGCGGCCTCAGCAAGGGCGCCGCGGACCTGGTGAGTTGCGTGCATGGTTGGGAATCGGTAGCTGGGATTAAGAACAAGGGTCGAGCAAGGAGGGACTGAAGACCAGGAGGAGTCGATGACCAGGCCGTGAAGCGAAGCGGGTGTCGAATTGCCAGAGCTCTTTGTGACTTTGTGTTTTCGTGCAGTCACCTTGACTCAGGTCTGGCGAGACTTGGAATACGAGCCACTCATCACTGGCAAGGCCACTGGGGTCGTAGCTACTGTGTCGGGGTTAGTCTAGCCGACCTTTGCTGGACTTGCACTTGCAACTTGATTCACCAGAACATCATCGGTCGAATTCGCTGCTGGAAAAGAAGCTTGGATGATGCAAGGCCTGACACGGGCTCAAGACAGGTACTAAGCAGGGCGTGGTGTGGCTGAAGTATGACACCGGGCCGAATAACTAAACCCTTTCTGGTGTGTCAAGCTGGGAGTGTAGTCCCGAGTTTCCGGCATTGTGTGGTACGGTTCAGACTCGGAACCAGAAACCGGCACGGCCCGCATGCTTCGTGTGCATCTGGTCTCTGGCGAAGAAGTTTTGACTGAGTCCACCAACAGCCTCGGTTGCCCGTCATCGTGCTCTGTAAGAGAGCTCAAGTCGCGGCTGGCCAAGGTGAGCGAGGGACTAAAGTCGTGCTTCGCAGATACTGTACGTAGATCCAAGGCTAGTTGCTCGCTTCGGCGAGAGAGGAGAGAAGAGCGGATGTCCCCGCGATGTCCCGCGAGGTGGCTGGATGCGGGCCGCGCTTCCGGCAGCGCCTTTTGTGCGGCAGCCGGGAGCTTTGCGACGACGAGGAGCTCTCGGGGCCTGCGGAGCTGCAGCTCGTGGTCTTGCCGCCAAGGCCTGCAGGCGACTTGCCCAGCACACCATTACTCGGTCCCGGGGCTATCTCGTATCAACTGGGTGTTTTACGCATCTGCAGGCGTCTACTTCGGGGAACGCATTATAAACGTTATATCATCTCATCAAGCTCTGTATCTTCACCTTCATATTCTTCGGCGTGTGCAGCAAGCTCTCGCATCTGTCGGTGTCAGTAAGCGTGTGATCCTGCATCTTCGCACGAGTGTGTGCTTGTGTATGGCAGATTTGTGAGCTGTGCATGGTCCAGAAGCCCGTACGATAGCTGACGATTGGAATACTCCAAATCGCAGCGTCTACATGGCAAACACACTGGTTTCTTATCTTGGAATGCTTCCAAATGTAGTATATACCTCAGCGTCCGCAACAAATCCCGCATTTTGGATCCCCTCAAGTGGGGCTGGGGACTTCAGACCCCGCTCTGGGCACAAATTTGGCAGAGGGTCTGAGGTGCTGCCTGGAGCAGTCCAGACCCTTGCAAGGGTCGATCCAGACCCCCCTAAAAAAAAAGACTTCGCATACAAAACATCGTCAAGAAATTTCGCTGCTCTTTGGGGGGAACGGAGGGGGGTTGAAAAATGAAAATTCATTTATTGACCCCTACATGCTCCACGTGCTGTCAGACACAAGAAATGAAGGATGCGCTTCCTGAACATTTTTTCTCTCTCCTAAACGACGCTTCCCCCGTAATCTACGTCGTCTAAGCCAGAAGCGCTAAACCCATAAACCAAGACGCGCCCAAAAACTCCAAACCCAGAACCTCTGAACCCAGAAACCCGAAGCATCCAGAAACCTCGAATTCAGGAACTCCAAAACCCAGAAACCCTAAACTCAGAAATCCCAAACCATGAACCCCAAAATCCAAAACCCAGGAGCCCTAAACAGAAACATCCAGAAACTTTAAACACAGAAGCCTTGAACCCAGAAGCCCTACAACCCTGAAGCCCGAAAGCTTACAGCCAGAAACATCCAGAAACCCTGAATTGAGATCTTTTTAAACCCAGAAACGCAGACACCCCAAGCCCCAGAAATCCGAAACCCAGAAGCTCTCAACCCCTAAACGTTGAAACATCCGGAAACTCTAAACCCAGAAGCCTTGAAGCCAGAAGCCTTCAACCCAGAAACCCCAAACGCTTACCGCGAGACTCGGCAACAAGCTGTCCAGACCCCCCCAAAAGGTCTGAATTGACCGGTGCCGAGGCAGACCCCCCCACACTTGGGGGATCATTTTGGCCTGTCTGCTTCGTGCTTCTTGAAACCAGCGTCTACATGGGGTTTAGCTAGTTCTGATGTGTAATTTCCCCGCTGATGTGTTTTCTCCCTAAACCAGCGTCTGCCGGCATTGATGTGTATTCTCACCAGCTGATGTGAGATAACCCAACGCTTAGTACCAATCATTACCAATCCCTCCACGCTCCATCAGTCAGCAAATGGGATGCGTTCAAAAGTCGTGTGTCTGTTGGTTTACTTAAATTGACATTAATGCATGAAGGGTGCATCCTTTTTGCTCTTCGCCATGAGGCGGCTCGCAACTAGAGCGCCGCTTATTACCGAAGGTGACGCTAGGAAAACCGCTAGCTTCGCGCTAGGCATGCTGAGAACCGCATGATGCCGCATGCTCAAGCTGAAGCTTTAGACGCCATGAGAGCGCCATCGGGCGCACCCGTGACCCGGGAGGGTGGTGGGGTTGTTTGGTTTTGGAAGGGCCTTGAAACCCCCTTCTTCTTTGTTGTTGTTTTCATTTTGAGTAAACGGCAGAGTTTGGAGAAGGGAGTAGAAGAAGGAGAAGGAAGAGGTGAAGCAAGCGGAAAGCACAGCTTTCGGAGCATCAGAGTAGCTGAGCAGCACTCCTCATAGATTACGGGATTGTTGTTGTAGGTATATCTGTCTAGGGTTTCAGGATGTCTCGGCAATTGCACCATTGGCCTCCTCATCCGGCGAGGTCATTTTTGGGCATTTGTAAGCGATGTCAGTGCGCTAGATCCGCGTTAGCCCGGCGCTAGCAAATATTAAACGCAACCTGCCCCAGAAGACCCTGGCCCACTTCCGCACAAACCAAGATCCTGGAGCAGCAATCAGACAGGATCCGAGATAGTGTATGTTTCGCCGTGACATGCTGCTGCCCGTAGAACGGAAACGCCTACGTGATCAAGGCCGAGACGGCTACTACAGACAGCATGGTGTGCAGCGCGATTCCTCCATCAAGCGCGCGGCTGGAGGCTATTGGCTCCAAAGCCCTGCGACGTGATTTGGACACAAGAAGCTTGCGGGGGCTCGAGCCCGGAAGTAGCGGCAGCAGGACAACCTGCAAGCGCGCCAAGAGTCCAGCAGTGGCTGTGGCAGTAGCAGTAGCAGTAGCAGCGACAGCCCGTCCGACAGCTGCACTCTTGTGTTTACCACTACGTATCTGTAGGCCTGGTTTCCTCTTGCCACATGAAGCGACACGCAACTACAGCCACATTAAAGTCAGTTTCGGGAACAAAAATTTTGACAACAATCCAGATGTCAGCAGTCTCCGCTGCCAGCCCAGCTTGTGTTGCCAACCGAGGACCGGGGGATGGGCTTGGTCTGCTGGATGCCATCATCGACGGTAATGCTGCTAGGGTGGAGGCTTTGCTCCGGGAGTGCCACTCCCCCAGCGCCATCTTATACGCTGCGTCGGCTCGAGGGAATTTGGATATGGTCCAGCTGCTGTTGGAGGCAGGTGCGGACAAAGACGGTGACGATGGCTCCGTACAGCCTCCGTTGCAAACAGCATGTCGATGGGGAAAGTTGGAGGTCGCACAATTTTTGGTGAAAGTTGGCGCTGACAAGGACAGACTTGCCGTCACGTTTACCGCGATTTACGGCAGCACACCCCTGATGGAAGCTTCACGGCGGGGTCACCTACACATATTGCGCTTCCTCATTCAGGCCCGTGCAGACAAAGAGAGGCGCAACACACGCGGCGAAACGGCCCTGCACTGGGCATCCTCTGCAGGCCGCTCGGAAGCTGTGTCTCTGCTGGTAGAGGCTCGGGCGGATGTTCATCAGACCACTGCTGCAGGTTCCACTCCTTTGCTCGAGGCTTGGCGCTTGGGCCACTTGGATGCGGCATGCCGCTTGAGATGCGCCGGCGCAGACCTGGGCGAGGTGCCGCTCTTCCAGGAAATGACTCCATTCCTGCGTCGTCGCCTCCGCAGAGCCATCCGCAAATGGCATTTGAAGGGCTGATCCATGAAGCCCGTCCGTGGAGAATCTCGACAACGTCCTGTTTATGCATGTGGCCCTGGTCTACGTCGTACGTGTCCTGGAAGCGGAGCCGTAACGCCAACTGCCGACCGAAGCAGCCGTTGGACGGGACCGCCCGACCGGCAGAAAACGGACACCCGACTTGGCCCGACATCGTGAAGATCTTCGAAGTCGACCTTGCCACTTCATCTCGCAGTCCACCACAAGACGACAACTCTCGCTGCTCAGAAAAGACCCGTCCAAACATCAGTTACCTACGATCTCACCCGTGGCACACCCGGCAAGGGGTCTTCCGATGTTAAATGGTCACCGAAACCAGTTGCCTGCATGCAGGTTGCAGACAACACCCCGTACGAGGACGGGAGGGAGAACTCTGAATGACACGTCTGATATGCATGGGTGGCGAGACGGGCTCTATTGGATGCCTGCCAGCCCCGGCCCCCAGGTTTGAAGCTTCCGAGGGACCAGTAAGCTTACTTTAGTCGATCGTGTTAGGGCATCGCTGGTCATGAATCTGAACAGCATGAACACCGACATTTTTGTGGTGCAGGATGTTTTTCTGTCTAGCTCGAACTTCTCCTGCCTGGACCGCGGGAGTTCCAAGCGAAGTCAGGAGACCTGCCCGTGCCGAGGTTTTGAGGTAAAGGGGTCGCATTGCATACTTGAGACAAGTTTCTCCTGACGGTTTTCCTTTACCCAGCCCGCACAGATATATGCAGAGATCAGAGCCCCGCAGGACACCGTCACTCCGCCCAGGATCCTGTGCGGCGTCGACTCCATCAACGGGCCCAGTGTTTGCACAGCCCTAGACAAGAGTTTGACCTGGGCATGTTAAAGACTTATTTTGCCAAGAACGGCTTCCTTGTACTTCTTATTCTTCTTGTGTTCACCGGTCTTCGCGAGTGTCAGTGGTGGACCTAGCTCCATTGTAGAATACCACAGCAAGCCGCAAGCCATGCTTCGCAATGTGAAAGAGCCCTCGCGGCCACACAGATGTCTTGTCCCAGACGCCGGCGGATCACCTCCACGCTGGTAGAAGGAGCCAAGGCCGCGAGGATTCTACTCGGTCATGAATTTTTCGGGTTTCGGCATCTGAGCCTGTTGGGCGCGGTAGCTTGCTGCTCAGTGTGCTGCAAGAAGAGCCCTTGCACCTTGCGCTGTCCGCTGATTCCAGCTCTTCGTTTCAGCATCCCATGTCGGGAGAAGGCAGTGGAGTGCCACAAGTAGGCTGGACCCCTTGCCCCACGAAGGGTCATTCTAATTATCCTTTTGGAAATCACTCATGTTCTGCCGAGAAGGTCCTTGCGAAGTGGAGCGACGGACAGCCTCTGGTCGCAAGTAGCTCAGATCCTGGAATTTCTCGAGTCCGCAAAACACGACTGTCTCCTTAATGCTGATGCAAGGCTTCAGGTCTCTGTGATGTCACAGGTTGACGATTAATGTCTGGGAGTATCATGTGCGGCGTAGGTATGAAGCTGTAGACTGTAGAGGTCCCAATGCTTGTCGTCCAGCCCATACGGTGTCTACCCCACGCAAACCCCTCTCTGGACTTGCAAAACCACTTGTCAGATGTCAAGCACCTCAGGCTTTCTGCGGTTGCCCTTTGCTTACGCGGCCGAAGGTCCAGCATCCAGACAAGAATGTCTTCTCCATCTCGCAGCGGGTCTGGCCCCAAGCAACTGCAACCCAAGCGCTTTGCGGCAACGGATCCTTTTTGCAACTACGCCGGGTTGAATCAGGAGGAATCCGTAGGAATCCCGTGAAATTTGACAGACTAAGAGGACCATCTCTGAATGCTTCCGATTTCATGAGGTCAGCCGCATTTTCGAGCTTGATGACGACCTGGGCAGGGGACCCAGGTTTGAAGAAAGGACCAGTTCCGGAAGATGTTAGTCCAGGCAGCAAGAATGATGTTGTCTTTTCTTGAACTGCTCCGCATGTGCATGGGTATTCCGAGCCCAGCAGAGTGCTTCAACATCATCGTACAGCTAGAGATTAGGCCAGGACAGAACCCCAAACACGGACGGGAGCACCTAGCAGACTGACCTCTGACATGCCCACGAACCATTGAGTGCCCGGAGGCTCGCAAGACAGACCAAGCCCATCCCGAAGGTTTATCATGTGTACCCACGACGCAGAGAGGCTCGAACACGCTAGAGGCGAACACACGAATCGCAGCCCAGAGCGGGATTTGGAGAGGCGGACACACACGGGACTGTGGCGAGCAGACCATGCGCTCCCCGGAATACGCAAGGCACATCGTGAACGGCACTGTTGCGGAGCATAATAACGAATTTCAGCAAGTTCCCAAACCAGGGATTTCGAGACCACACCCCTAATGGCAATGCTAGGATGTAGCGATTTCGATTGAGTTGAACGCCAAAATGAGCACGGGACTGTGGGCGTAGACGATGTAGTTACAATACACACATGGCAAAATGGCGAGGCACTCTGGCGTTGGCGATTCATCACCCGGGACAGCAACAGAGTAGTGGAGTTTACAATGACTTCGACGTCCCCGGAGAATGGAGCAGGACTTTGGAAAGAACTCGACTGTACGGCACTCGAAAATTTGCACCGTGATAGCCGCAGAACTGAAAGCAAGCAAATCCGTCCCGCTGAACGTAGGAACGACACAGTGAGAAAAAGAGTCCGAACCACCAAGGCCATGATGACACTCTCCAGTTGGTACTGAATGTGATGGTGCAGGCCCGGCACCTGTGTGTGCCTCACAGACATTGATGTGATGTGTAGCCAACGCTACTAGTTGCAGTCGGCTCGGAGACTCCGAAGCGGGAAACATGTGGACGGATGTGGACAGTGGCGGCGACGGAGACCATTGTGCATTGCTGCGTGGGATGGAAGTCCTGGGTTTGGCCACTTGATTGGGTGCGTGCACATTGAGCCCTCAGAGACACTCCTTGTGCATCTGCCCCTGGTTCGATCATTGCGTTGTCTGCCGGATCCCGACATTGTTCCTGAACTCGTCCTCAGGAGAGTTTCACTGGGGGTAAGGGTTAAGCAAGGATAGGCAAAGGTTCCGGCTGCGGTAGTTGTGGTGGCGGCAATGAGGACACGCTGGTCTCTTGGTTGTAATGTTTCCGATCGTGCGTGTGTGTGTGTGTAACTGTGTGTAAGTAAGCTCTGATATGCTTCTGCTGTCTCCTATTGGTTTTCTCATGCGTCTTGTTTTCTTTTTGTTATTTCTTGCTGTGGCTGTTGCTGTTGCTATTGTAGCGGTTGCCGTCGTCGTCGTCGTTGTTGTTGTGCTGCTGCCAATGCTGTCAGAGAAAAGGAATGAGTACTGCTACGTCTGAGCCGGTGACGGGCCTGCGATTGCTCATGACACGCTTGGCCTTGACGCGCGGCGGACTCAAATGGAGTCAGCCATGCACGTGGATTCACGAATAGGTCAAATGCCCACAAGGGTCCCAAGGGTGTTTGGCCTCGAGGGGGTCCGACTCCGCACGGTGCTACACCTGTTTACCTTGGCGAGGCCGGGAAGCAAGCGAAGCGTGTCCGCGGTCTCCGGCGTGCGATCCCTACATCCTTGTGACATCCCTGCATGTGACAGTTGCAAAGACATTTGTGCCCTCCAAGGACTTAGCTCGGCGAATAAATCAGGCCTTGTGCAGATTGAGTTGGATTGGTGCCGTCAGATTCGCGAAGTGCCAGCAAAGACGGCTATGGCAGGGAGTCAGAGTCAAGGTCAGGAAGCCGCCCCAAAAATGAAGCCACGGGCAAAGGGTGCTAATCACGTGTGGCGGGTCTAATTAATTCGGTATCACTGCAGTCGCATAGCGTTGTGTGCAGGCCAGGCAGATTCCTTGTTGACCGGCGGCGTCAACGTCTCATTGTGAGGCATTCGAATCTGACCATGTCGATTCACATTGCAGCCTTGCCGCCGCAAGATGAAAGCTCTGTGTTCAGAGGAGATCAGGAGATATCAGGAGATCCTCGGATGCGAAGCACAGGCCACAGGTGCCAGGGGCCATAGCTTGCAGGTCGCTGCCACGGATGCACAGGTAGAGTTGCAGAGACTAAAAAGACCACAGTGACACCTGTGCATCCCTCCAGAATTTGGCCTGTAGATTGAGAGGCATGCAGCTGGAAGGAAGGAAAGCGCTTTTTGCATTGCACACGGTGGCCCTTCGGTTCTGTTCTCATGTAGATTGCAGAGTGTGTTCAGGGGTTTCAGTATGGTGACGATTAGTGTTTAGGGTTTTGCTACTGCTTCCAGCGCTTTTCCACCGAACTTCGACCAACCCGTGCATGGTATTTCCTTTCGGCAGGCATGTGGAGCTTGCAGGAGCCCTGCGGTCTTGGTTTAGTTTTATGCGCGTACTTCCAGCGGGTTGTTGCGATCTTGGATGAGGCTTTGGCAAGCTCGGAGTCCCCCAGTGCCAGCATGGCCAGCGGCAAGAGATTGCTCGCCGCGAGTGTGGAAACCTATTGGAATGATGAAGTGAAAGAAGTGACGAAGAGAGCAGGCATGGCTGAGACTGGATGGAGTGATCTGCGAATGATGAAAAGATAAAGACCATCTGGCCTTCTCGTCAGGGTTGAAAGTAGCTCATGCCTGCATCGGCGGCAAAATTTGACTGAAGGGGCTGTCGCGAGCTTGGATTGCACCCTCGGTGACCGCCCAAAGACAAATGTGCAAAGGCAGGGCAAAGATTGCCAGCCAGTGAGCTGATGTGCTACTGAAGTAGCCCGCGGCTTGTCGCAGCAGCTCAGCGTACAACAGTTCCTGACATTGGAGCTGTTCGCTGAGGGCTTCGTTAAAACAGACCTAGTGCCGATAGGATCACAGCGGGCCAGCGGAGTGGGCGATCACTCCCCGGCGCCTCCGACGAACACCGTGTTGTTCGCACTGAAAAAAGCTGCTTAGGTTGCAACGGTTGGGACCCCATACGTTGCCACTGCATCTTCGCACAACGATGAGTCGTGATGAGTCCTTCAGTCAAGGCTTGTGGTGACCGTTCCAATTGCGTGAGTAGCGGCCAAAATCTGAAAGAGTCAGGCCCCTGGCTGAGCAGCAATCAGAAACAGAGCAAACTTCGTTTGGTGATCGGAGTGGCCTGAGAACTCTCAATTTTGCCACGTGGGAACCTCTACACTGGCTCGTCACGTCACCGGCTGTTGGGTCTTGCATGCACGCTTTTGCGTCTGTCAGCAGGAAGTCGTACGGGTTTTGTGCCGTGGCTAGAGCCCGAAACCGCAGGCGATTGTGGAGACCTGGATTGCTGCCAGGCCAGACGTAGGAACTGATATTTTGGCCGGGCGGGGTCGTGTTTTGTAACATTTGTAGTGCAGCTTCTGGAAGTGACGTGAAGAGACGAGGAGCATGGTCAGGCTTTTGCCCCCCTCCTCTCTGGAATCCTGCACCCTTTGTGTTTTACTGCCTTACTTCTTGCGCTGCCGCTTCGCATGGATCGATGGTGTGCAGCTAAAGCACCTTGGCAGGGCCGACTTTTTCGTCGGCACCATTGAGTCCAGGTGGCGGCCCTGGAAAACTGAGCTGGGAGAGGAAGAATTCGCCTCCATTCTCCGCTTGTCTTCAGCGCGTGGCATCTGCATGGCCTGCAAGCACGAAGGTTCACGATGTCCATCCAACTTGAACGAAGCTTCCTTGGCAAGCCACACCGAAGTTCGGAGCAGGTTGGTTTTCCAGTGAGGGTGACATGGTTTTAGACATTAAGAGAGTCGCATAAACCGAGCATCTGACATGGCTGCCAGGAGTTCTGCAAGGAATACAAGCGTTTCAAGCCGTGCCTGGCCCCATCGTGAGCTTTTGCATGTCTTGGCTTGGCTAAGGAGCTTAGAGCCAGTGCGCTGCAGTTCCACCTTGGCCAGGTACCGACACACTCCCCGCCGTGGTGCACACCGGGACCAATACTTCGAAAGCTGAATGGCAAATCTACTGTAAGCCCAAGTCGCCGGGGCAAGTCTAGCCCCTGAGCTGGGGAACCCTGTGGTGTGTTGGGCTTGTGCTCGATACGTGGATCAGCGGAGCCAACAAGCGCTCCCGAGGCAGACAGAAAGTGCGCAATGCTTACCTGCAAGGCGTTCAGTGAAGCATCATGTAGTCTCGTGTCAGTCGCAGCTTCGGGTGCCTGGGTGTTCTATTTATCCCATACTGCCGGACGTGGCAGCCAGAAGTATTTTCAAACACGAGTCAAAGAAGTTGCCACACTACCACCTAGGACCTAGGACCTAGTATAGAGGACCTAAAGGTGATTCTGAAGCATTGCCTTCTCGATTCTCACAGGCAGCTCAAGCCGCGCGAAAGGATGCCATGCAGAGCCAACGGGACCCGTCGAGATCCGTGGAAACTGATCCCAGCACCTACCGAAGCAACAGCCACGTACGACACGCATGACACGGCCTGCTCAGCAAAGTGCGGGCCGGGAAGACTCCTAATTTGCCTTTCTCTGACCATACCGTCTCTCGTCAGCTTGTGGTGAAGGAAGCCGTAGAAAGATGTCGGCGCGGATCCTGCCGGTGGAGTAATGCAGTTTCCTTAGATGGGCCAACCCATGTCACTGCCAGAAATGCCTCGGCCGTGGAGGAATTTGGACGTGGTAGGTTCATGGCCAGCATGTTGGGTGCACCTTAGACGACTTGGTGCGGCAAAGGTGGCTTTTTCCGTTTGGCCTATGTCGCCGCCGATGCACTGTGTCCGAGCCTCAACGTCCCGCACCTGCGGGCGTTTGTAGAGATATCCTCATTGGGTGAAGTTCAGAAGTGTTTTGGCATAAGAACCTGGAGGTGTGTTGTCTTTGGTAGTAGCGGTTACTCTACGTGCCTCGAAACTAAGGGCCTGTGCACACCGGTGGAGATGGCTGAGGAGCAAGCTTGAGCCTCCGCAGAGCATAACCCTCTGTTTCTACAGCTTGTATTGCATTGGTTAGAGAAAACTTCCTGAGCTGTTTGTAGTGACCACATGCGACAGGAGCCATTTCCGAAAGGAGCTGCCCGGGCATGGGCTTCTGACTCAACCAGAGATTCCGAGAAAAGATTCACGTAGGTTGGTTCAGCCTCCGTCGTTTTTCTGACTGCAGCTGGTGCGGAGCCCTTGTTTTCTGTCTTTATGTTGTTCCTCAAGCATTTCCGAGTAGTTCACTCGACCCTGTCAGCATGCAGCCACAGCAGCGCAGGAAAAGGGTGCAGATGACGACTTGGACGTGGAGAAAGGAGATTACACCGTTTACAGTGCACTCAAGCAGGTTGACACTGGCTTGAGACATTGCAGTGCGCAGAGGATCCCAGTTCCAAGTCGAGCTATCGGAAGCCGCAGGGGCCGGCTGCTTTCGATGAAAGGGACCCGTAAATCTGCTCTGAGCATGACTAGGGAGGAGGTGGCGGATTCTTGTCCAAGGTTTCTGCGACAGTATAGGCTGCATGGCAAGCTGGAGAAGTTGTTTGCTTACAAACAGCTCTTTCCGAACCTTGAAGCCTGCAGGCTCACCCCTTTCTGTCGTCCTTGGCGAATACGCAGGAGCTGCTTTGGGCCTGTAGACTGCTTGCAAGGTTTTATGCAGGCTTGCTGAAGGCAGGCCAATCTGACCGATCCTGACCTGCAACTCTGCAGCAAATTCGGGTTCTTTCTCTCCGCAGGATGCTGACGAACGCCCAGGCAGGGATAAAACTCACAGAAGCTCTGGATCCACCAGTGCATCCCAATGTGCGCTTCCACGCAGGTGGAGTCTCCGACGTTCCAAGCTGGCAGATTCCAGAGCTTGTGGTGCGCCACGAGATAGACGAGCGTTGCACATCGCAATGTCCGACTACTGTACATTGTCTCGAGATCCCACTGCGTCATCCTTTGTTGAGGTGAGTGTTAGAGGGTCATGGGAGCGACACAGGTGGAGTGCCCGAAGAGGCCCGGAGCCCGCATTCACAAGGCGGAGGGAACTGCAGACGAGTGTTATTTGGGTTTTTCCAAGTCCTCGTTCGAATTCACTGAGTTGTTGCCACGGTGCCCCATCTTTCCAACAGCCGTGTCTGCGAAAACCGCCTGCAGGGTACTTCGCTAATCCTGCCGGAAGCTGGCGGCGATCTGCTGGCTGGGCCCTCTGGTGAGTAGTTGCTTGGAGTTGTTGATTTAGAAGCTGCAAACGAGGCCGGGTTGATTCAGAGTTGCCAAAAGCTACATGGACCCACGGGCCTGGGCTCCCCAAGGCTTGCATCGTCAGCAGCTTGCCGGTGCTGTTGCAAATAAGGCGGGAAATTTCATGCTAGGGTTTTGGAACGAGCTTCATGAGCATTGTCGAGACAACACTGCAGCATCGTTTGGAGTGCATGTGACGGCATTGCTTGTGGCAATTGTTTGAATTGGCAGCGCATCACACGGGACTTGCGCAGACCACGCTGGATTCTGGGTTACAGTATGGCCGTCGATGGCCACGCTCTAAGAGTGCTTGAAAGACAGTAGCTCTGACTTCTGGCATGCTCATCATCACGTCGCTTGTCCAGTATGCCCATTTCCCGCTTCACTGCCGACTGGCACTCGCGCCGGTGGTCTGCCGTGCTTGCTTGGCCTCAGGCGTTTCTCTGCGAACGATGTATCGACAGCTTGCAGACTCTGGCCCCTGCGTCATGATAGTGGAGGCGAAAGTTGGGGAATGTGCCGAAGTATCCACTGACAGCTGACTCTTTTTCCGGCATTCCGAGTTGCATGTGTGGTGCCCACAGGATTCTAGCAACTGCATTTTCGGGGCCTTCCTCAGCGAGGGCTTGAGGTCCGCCGGGGCATGCAGAGGCAATTTATTGCAGAGAGCACCAGGAATCAAGAGTCTCGCATGTCACAGGCGTTTGACCCGCAACGTGAAGCTGCTCATTATGCTAAGTACCATGC